CTTTACGACTACTCAAATTATTCAGGCTGACTCGATTTTTAGAAACTCTTTGAACTTGTTCCCGCAACTTGGCCATATTGGTAGGACAGTGGACGCGGTAGATTCCCAGACATTCCACCGGTATCGTCAGTGAGTCTTGCCATTCTGAGGACCACACAACAACTCGTCAAAGAGACAAGTGAGGATCGACTTTATTTGTCTCTTTTGACGAGCCGAAATGTGGTGCTGAGAATGGCAAGACTCACTGGTGATGCCTGCGAAATGTCTGAGAATGTACCACGTCCACTGTCCGACTCTAAAATGATCATGCCTTCTATGAACCCCGGACTAGGTGCGTTTCTATAAATCTTCCTACCAATATGACCAAGTTACGAAATCAAGGTCAAACAACTTCTGTACAACCAAAAGAGACCAAGACCATACAAAAGGCCATATCCTGGTTTTCATATCCTTGACTCAATTTTTGTTGATGTGAAGACTTTCATTTCTTATGGAAGTACATGATTAATCTCTTCATAATGAATTTCCATATAAAATGTAGGCCTTTTCATCAATCTCATCCCAAGAGATTCGTCGAAAACCCCATTTTCTTCGTGATAGCTGTCATGAAGGTGTTGGCTTGAAGTCGGTAAGATCGTGTCATTGAGTTTCCTTGAGGTCAGTAGCTATTGAGGACTTTGGACGGAGTAACAGCCCAAAAGGTCAACTGGCCACCAGGACCAATCTTGAATTGGGCCAAATAGCTAATATTAAGGCACAACACCACTTATGACAAAATTCGGACCCATTTCAATATTCAATATTTCAATATTTAACCTTTCAAGATAGTTTATATGCATTTGGAGATTTGTGTGTATTTTTTATTAATTATCGAAGTACACTAATATTCCAGTAAGCGGAACCCCACTGGCTATATGACCAATGTTAGATTGGCAAATGGATATGGTAACGGAAAAAAATTAAAGCAGTCACTATAAGAATGACGAACTTAATTATGATAATAATAAAAATAATTAATTCTGACTGAAATATTGTTTGAATAATAGATATATGTTTGTATCCAAATTATTCGAATAACGGCATGGTTACTCGAAGAGGCACTTTGCTATTTGATTCTGTACACATTTTATTCTCCCCGAATGTTTTGAAAATTTCCTCAATTCGCCGATGTCAGGAGAAGATGGGACAATGAAAATAGGTCAACTTTTGGGCGAACTTAGCTTTGAGCCACCCTAAGCATGCATCTCGATATCGTAATTGTGAATAAAAGCTGTTTCTCCAGTGGGATATCTCCCTGGACACGGTATTGCAGATGAAATAGTAAGAATGCTTAAGACCTGACTGGTAGACCCGGTGAACCAGAGCACTCACGACAAAGACTTTGACTGCGCCAGCGCACCACGTGGCCGATGTTGGCGCATGCCTGCGCCATTGCGGCGATCGCGGTGCAGAGGCACTGACAGTCACCGCCCTGATCGCAGCCGCAGGCGTCGTAAATACAGTCGTCGTGGTAGCGGTCTGCCTCTGGACCTAAGGCTTGCACGCAAGACTGGAACGGGCCACTGGGACTCAGTAGCAGGGCGCAAGAGGCGGCAGCCCAATCACGACGTTCGGGGTTCTAAGCAAATCATTCGTATGTGTATGTGTATATGTTTGTGTTTTTCGATATGTGTGTGGATCAAAGGATACATAGTCATGTGAAAATTAACAATAGTATTAGTGTATGTGTGGATGGGTGTACATGTATGTTTATGTGTGTGCGTGTGTGTATGTATGTGGGCATGTGTGTGGATCGAAAGAGACATAGTCATGTGAAAATTAAGGAGTTAGAAGAACACAAAATTGTAAATGTGAAAGAATCATCTGAATAACTGATCTGCGGGAGTGATCTGAATGGCCTGACGTGGTCTATTTGAGAATATTCCTATTGTCCCATTAATCGGCCAACACGGACCGAAGATATACAAAGCCCCGTAATCATGCCATCACTGCTTGTTCTCATCAGAATTGCGTCTATCTTGAGTCTAGGTATCGTAAAGTTGCACTATTTTCCTGCTGA